ACAATGGAACTGTGGAACAGCACTTATTTTTTAATACTATTTTGTTTAGCTAAATAGCAAATCATTCGGCTTAGAGAAGTCTTCGTTACTTTTATCTTTCACTGAAAATGTTAACCTAAGGAAACAGGTCAGGAAAAGGGGAGAGAAATAATAATATTTAAGAGCATCTACAGCAGAGCAGTAATACTAAAAGATTTATAACACCCACAAGTAATATGACAGCCTTTACTTTATTCAGCCAATGAGAACTTTTATATATCCTGCACAAACTGAAAACCAATCAGGAATTACTCTACATGTTAGAAACAGTAAGTGACGTCATCGGAAGGAATTATAACCTCAAACTTCAGGCGTCTCTCCCGCGGGGATTAAGCTGAGGGCGGGAGATGACTGACGTTTCAGGCTATTTTCGGCCTTGTTTGTAAATCAGCGTCATATGTCCCTTGTAAAATATCAGCTGCTATTTTGCTGAAGGAAGCAATTAAAGACGGTGGAAGAAAAGAGAGAGGAAAAGGAAGCGCCAAGATCCTCGGAATACCGGCAGATGCAGCTCCAGTCTGTACGACAGAGGGGACGAAATGGGCCCTGATCTTACCTGAATTTTTGCTCAATCGAGGCAACGCTTCCTCAAACGAAGGCTTAAAAATACCAGTACGTTAAGTTTTGCAGAGAGTATTTTTTATTATTCCTGCCATCGTGGACATAGCATTGAAGGGAAGGTCCTGCAGTGTAGGCGGCTTATTAGCTATTTAAAGGTAAGTCACAAATTTATGTCAGTTTTTGTTTGTCTGTCACGTTATTGATCATAAATGTCTTAGTGCCTTGACTATTTTTGGATGGATTATAAGAGAGTTAAAGGGCCCTGGTCAGCCACACCGAGTTGTTTACATGCGAGAGTTTGGCTATTATATTTTATTTGAGCATTTCGAAACGAAAGAAATCACTGTGGAACTAGTACTAAAGATAATTGTGACATACTTTCAGGAACACAACTTACAGTAAAGCAATGAGATCTCGTTTCACCGACCAAAATCAATAATTTCGATGGCACCGAAAATGGCGAAGGTTGAGTAGGGTCCTTTAAGCCCATATTTACAAGTTAAAGTCTCTCTTACGTGATTTTTTTTTTTAAGATCACTCCCACCTTCCGCAGTCCCAGAAAGGTCTAAAAAGAGCTGGTCTTGTGACGCGAATATTACTATCACCAAGGCGGCGTTGCACGCATCGTGATCGTCGAGAAAACACCTAGGCAACGCGCTGGATAACACTGGTAAAAATCACTTCGGAGGAATCAACTTGAGAACAAGGCCTATAGGTGGTTTGCAATCATTCCTGAGATATTCAAATGACAAAGAACCTGGTGGACATATCATACGACTGAAACAATAAAGGTGATTAGTATATTCTCAGCTCCGACTATTGCATTTCTAGCTCTCTGATTGGCTCAAAAACTCCGACTATGAGCCATTAGTCGGAGTTTTACCTTATATACTAAAACAATTATTCCATTCGACCTTGTTGGATATGAAGTGATCATAACCAACTCGCGCTACGCGCTCGTTGGTTATTTATCACTTCATATCCAACGCGGTTTCATGGAATAATTGTTAATTAGACTTTTTTGCTAATGATCATCCAACATGGCGGCCATCACGTCAGTTACAAACGATCTATATTGGACGATCTATATTGAGCAAAAACCCACAACGATAGATTTTTCACCTCTGTCTTTGGAATTAAACGCTTACTATACATATATCTGAAGAGTGCATCTCTATTAAATATGTAATACTTTTTTCGTTATCGACGTTGTCGTGGTTCATGAAGCTCGTTTCAGAAAAGAAAACAGCTATGAATACATAATTATGTAAGCCAACATTAACCATGTACTGTCAGTGTATACCAATAAATGTTGGAGCTGGAGGTTTGATTGAATATGGTATACATTTATTTCGCTTAGTATGTAGTTTAGTGAAGCTTTCATTTATCATTTGCACCTTAAAACCTCATAAGATAAGCTGCTACCGACTTAGAGTTTAAGTCTATGCGAATATTTATTTTCAGTCGTAGTCACAGTTGTCGCTCAACTCTGCGTCTTCCCAAGATATTCATTAGACAAGCGATAAATACTTCAAAATTAGCGTTCGAAGCAAAAAG